TGGTGAGACAAGTAGATGATCATAACAAAATATGGCCTAAATAAGAAAATATGACTTTTCCTTTTTTAATGTGCCCTTTTATATGTGGTTTTTAATATTAATGTTTTCATAAGTAAATTCCATCATGAAGTGATTTCTAACTTTTATTAGATTTGGTTTGTGCCATGTTAATGAGTATTTTCGTAGAGTATTTGAGTATTTTTATATTCTATCTTGGAAATGGCTATTAAAACCATTGTTTCTTTATTAAAAGAGTTTGAGAAATTCTTAAGGTAAAAATTTGAACATGAGGGGTGCCTGGGTGGTGCAGTCAGTTGATTGTCTGACTCTTGGTTTTGGCTCAGGTCGTGATCTTAGGATCATGAGAGTGAGCCCTGTTTAAGGCTCTCTGTCCCTCTGCCCCTCCCCTCCACGCAGGCATGTAAGCCCCCTCTCTAAATAAATAAAATCTTTAAAAAAAATTTGAACATGAGACTATTAAGACTGCAGATGGTAACTTAAAAGGCTAAATAAATGTCAGTCTATGCTTATATTTTAAAAAAAAGTTTTGTAAAATCTTTTTAAAAAGGGGGGAGGGTGCCTGGGTGACTCAGTTGGTTAAGCATCTGCTTTTGGCTCAGGTCATGATCCCAGGGTCCTGGGATTGAGCTCCAGGTCAGACTCCTTGCTCAGCCGGGAGCATGCTACTCCCTCTCCCTCTGCTGCCTTCCCTGCTTGTGCTCTTTTGCTCTGTCTCTGTCAAAGAAATAAAATCGTAAAAAAAAGTTTTAAATACTGAAAGATGATTATTTAATATTTTTTTGGAGTGTTTTAGAGTATTTGTCTTAACATCTAGCATATTTGTATAATATTAAAAGTGAAGGCTGAAAGGTTTTACATTTTTATACATCCACACACATTTATTTAAAGTTGTAGTTATTTTAATTTTAGTTATAAGAAAAATTCAAAATTGTAAATTCTTAATGTAAAGACTAAAGCATTAGTTAAGGTAGGACTTTTAATTCAAACGAAACTTTTAAATTCTAGGAACTTAATGTACTTTTTCCTAAGTTACTACCTGCTTTTAGTTCCTATGTGTCCAGAGATTTTTGATACCATCTAAGTCATCATTCCCCTAACTGTGAAAAGAGTTGAGTAATCGAAAAGAAAGTAAAATACTGAGTTAGTTAGCAGGTGATATTTTGGATCTCATGAAACGTATAATTATTCAGACTATAATTAATTCATTGTTTTTATGTGCTGCTGACATAAACTGTTTAAATAAATGTGAAAGTATGGTTTGTATTGAGGATTTGGAACTTATGAGTAAATTTTACTTGTCTTTTACTTTAGATAAATAAGAGAATTTATAGTACTTAACTTCTGGAGGAAGAATGTGCTATATACCTAGCCTTACAAATTTATATATACCTAATCCTTTGCTAGAACCATCATTATTATTTTAAACTCCGTAAGACATCATTATATTGTTCTTTTAAACTGTTCATAGTCTTTGACAAATTGATCCACCTATTTACATTTTCCAGTGCTTTTCATTCTTTTTTGCATTTTCATGTTCCTACCTGCGCTCTTTTTTTTCCCCCTCTAGTCTGAAGACTTTCCGTTTGGTGTTTGTTCCTTTTTGTTTTGGACCTGTGTGTATGTGTTAGGGGAGAAGGGGTTGTGTCTGTTTGTGTGCATCTGTGTATTTATCCAGTTCTGAAGGATATTTTTCCTAGGCACTGAATTCTAGGTTGACCATTTTTCTTTCAGTGTGGAGATGTCAATCTGTTGTCTTAATGGCTTCCAGAGTTTCTGTTGGGGAGTTAGCTGTTAATCTTATTATTCTTGTGAATGGTGTGTGTGTGTGTGTGTCCCCTTTCCTAACTGCTTTTAATGTGACTTCTTTAAGTTTTCAGTAGTTCGAAGCTGATATGCCCAGGTATAGTTTTGTTTGTATTTTACTGCTTGGAGTTCCTTGAGCTTTTTGAATCTGTGACTTGAGTTTCTGATGAGATTTGGTAAATTTTGGTCATTGTGTATGCTTCTGTCCCATTCTCTCATCTTGTCCTTGAACTTTTTAACTGTCTTCCGTAATGTTTCTTACCATCTATTTTTCTCTCTGTCTGTATTTATTTGAATATCTTCGGTTGACCTATGTTTGAGTTCACCAATCTCACACTCTGCAGAGTTGAATTTGTTGTTAATCATTCGGTGAACTCTTTAAGCTTTATTTATTTATTTGAGAGGGAGAGAGAACAAGCAGGGGGAGGGGCAGAGGGAGAGAGAATCTCAGGCATCACTCCACACTGAGTGTGGAGCTCCACCTGGGGCTTGATTTCATGACCGTGAAATCATGACCTGAGCTGAATTGGAATCGGACGCTTAACCATCTGTGCCACTGTGGTGCCCCCATTCAGTGAACTCTTAATTTCAGACATTGTACTTGGCAGTAAATTATGTCTGTCATAAATTATGTCTGTTTGGTTCTTTTTAAAAATAGATTTCAGTTTTCTTTTCAAATACTCCCCATTTTTCTTTCATCCTTTCCCCTATCTTCTCTATTTTACTATAGTAATCTTGGTTATTATGTCTTTGTCTGCTGTTTTACCATAGTAATCGTAGTTATTAACTCCATTACCTGGGTCATGTTTGGATGTCTTTCTGTGGACAGGTGAATTTCTTGATCATTAGTGACTTTAAAAAATATTCTTTGCAGGGTGCCTGAGTGGCTTAGTCGGTTAAGCATCCGCCTTCGGCTCGGATCATGATCTCAGGGTCCTGGAATTGAGCCCAGTATCGGGCTCCTTGCTTAGCGAAGAGCCTGCTTCTCCCTTTCCCTCTACTTTCCCCCCACCCCCGCTTGTAGTCTCTCATTCTTGCTCTCTCTGAATAAATAAAATCTTAAGATTTTTTATTTATTTGACAGAGTGAGAGAGAGAGAGCACAAGCAAGGGGAGCAGCAGGGAGAGGGAGAAGCAGGCTCCCTGCTGAGCAAGGAGCCTGATGTGGGACTCGATTCTAGGACCCTGGGATCGTGACCTGAGCCAAAGGCAGATACATAACTGAGCCACCCAGGCACCCCATAAATAAATAAAATCTTAAAAAAAAATTTCTTTGCATGTCTAGTAATGTTTGATTGTTTGGTAGGGTATTGTAAATAACATTCATAAAGACAGACTTATGTTCTCTTCTGAAGAATGCAGAGTTTGGTTCTTGGAGGCACTTAACTTATAGGTAGATTACATTGATCCTGTCAGAAGATTGGTTTTAGGATTTGTTAGACGTATTTCACCTGATTCCTAGGGCATGGCCTTTCTAGGATTTCATCTGAAAGCTGAGGATTTTCACCCACCCATTCTGAGCTGGGTCTGAACCCAGTCTTCCTAATGGTATACAGCCTCTGAAGCCTTGGCTCAGCTGTTCTCTGCTAGACTACCCAGAGCTGTACTCTGAACATCACAGCTTAGCAACTAGCCAAGGACCTCTGAGGGACTTTTACATAGATTTTTGAGGCTTACTCCTCTGTAGGCCACTTTTCTCTAGTACCCTGTCTGCCTAGGCCCACTTAGTCCCTAACTGTCCCCTATTTTCTTGATCCATTGAGATTGCCTCTGTCTGAAAACTATCATTAATTTTAATCTAGTGGGGTAAGGAATGGCATTTTGTAATTATATGATGATGTAAATTGACTGTGATCAAAAAATGCTGGTAAAAAATGGTGAATTTAGGGCATTGACTACTCTGTAAATTTTAGAGTCTTAATTGCTTTGTAAACATTTACATTTATTACTTAAGAAATCAAGACAATAAGTTCCTATTGAGTATAGCACTTTGCTCATTGGCATTACAGTTGTGAGCAAAATCAAGACATAGCCTGTTATGAGCGACTTCATAGGCTAGTAGAAATTAGCTCCTAGACATGTCATGTTATTAAGAAAAATGTATTTTGTAAAATGAATACTCCCTATCCACTAGGATACCTTTAGATCCTACATCTCTGATTTGCATAATCCTGTTAATGTGAGCATACATCTCTGTTGTTTTGCTGGTTCAATTTATCCCCAGACTTGTTGTGGTACCCTTTTTGAAAAAAATCAGCTTTTGTTTTAGCTTCTGGTGCCTTTCCTTAGCATTCAGTTTTGTTGAAATAGTTTATAATTGGGTGAAGAGCTACATAGAGCAATGTGGAGAACACAGATTATCCCCAAGCTCCATTTTTTCCTGACATTTTTAAAGGATTTTTTTTTTTTAAGATTTTATTTATTTATTTGACAGAGAAAGAGAGCACAAGCTGGGTTACTGGCAGGCAGAGGGAGAAGCAGGCTCTCTACTGAGCAGGGAGCCTGATGCAGGGCTCCATCCCAGGACCCTGGGATCATGACCTGAGCCAAAGGCAGACACTTAACTGACTGAGCCACCCAGGCGCACCTTTTCCTGACATTTTTAGATGACAATATTAATTATGTCTAACCTAGAAGAAGATTTAAGTTCAAGCCAACATTGAGCTTTTTGCCTGGGGCCATTTGAAAATGACAGAAGTTGCTGAACTTCTAAGTTACCATATAATAGTGTGACAAGAGGGAAGGACCTGTGTAGTATTGGCTTGATCAGTTTATAAAGCTCCCTTTTGTCATTTTAATATAGTTATTATTCTCTCCAAACTTTAGTCATATTTCCCCCACCCTCCAAACCATATGTAGTACTTGAATGGTATGTTAGGAAAGACAGCTGATGTTCTTAGCTTTGTTGCATGGTGTCTAACAATCTTTCTGATACCAAAATGTGTCACAGATAACTGTTTATGGGCTGTATTTTTATTGAGAAGCCTTTTGCTCTTAGTGAAGAGATGCTAGAATGGAGAATCTGGTGCTTTTCTTAGCGCTTGGTCTTTGGTCTGTTTTATGAAATGCTTTTATAATTCTTCTTAAAAAAAGAATAGTGGCAGTATTTGATTTAGAGTATTGCTATCATAGTTATGTTAAGAAATTTAAAATAATGTTTTATTATTTTTCCATTAGGAAACCACCCCTACTCCTAATCCCCCGCCTACAGAAGAAGAGAAAACAGAATCTAATCAGGAGGTTGCTAACCCAGAACACTATATTAAACATCCTTTACAGAACAGGTAAGTCTTCTGACACATAGGTTCTTCTGACTCAGGCATTGAGGTAAATGGTAAAATAGTACAGGTTTGGGGGGGAACAATTAGGCGAGACTAGTTTTAGTTATATTAGGTTGAAGATTCCATTTTCACTTGGATAACCTGTTTCTGGCAAGCAGTTTTATGTGTAAATCTTGAGCTCAGAAAAGAGAACCGGTTGAGACATTGGGTTTGAAATTCATCAGTACTTGGTGGAAGTGAAACTATAATAGTAAATGAATTCTCTTTAAAGTAAACTTGACTCAAGACAGAGAGGCTTGGGATACCAGCTTATAGGGGATTTTTTTGGAGGGATAATGCCTATGAAGAGTTTAGACATAAACTGTATAAACTACAATAGAGTGGTGGTCAGGGAAACAAAGAAAATGGTTTAAGGCCAGGTGGTCAATAGCATATGTTCCACAAAAAGGTCAAATATCCATTGGATTAAACAATTGAAAAAGGCTCAAAATGGCCATTGGATTGAATGATAAACTCCTTGCTAATGTAGGAGAAAGTTTAGTAGAATGTAGATGATGGAAAAAGATTGGAGTAGTTTGTATAGTGAATATAAATGTATTATAGAGCAAGAATAAGCAAATTGAAGTTGTGCTGTGAAGGAGAAAAGGCTGGGGGATATGGAGTCTGGAGTTTGGTTGGTTTCTTTTTAAGACAAGTTACGAGAGGAAAGAGGAGAGGTTAAGATGAATTAAGTTTCAAGACACCTAGCTGGCTCAGTTGGTAGAGCATGCAACTCTTGATCTCAGGGGTCGTGAGTTCAAGCTCCATGTTGGGGTGGAGCCTACTTTAAAAAAAAAAAAAAAGATGAGTTAAGTTTCATAGTTAAGTGTAGTAGGTGAGTAGTAGCTCATTATATAGTTTTCCCAATTCCACCCCACCCCTTCCCAGTATTATATTTGTGTTTTTATGGTTTATATGATGAAAATTAACATTAATGCTCTGAGAGCTGATAGAAGAAAAAGGCAATGCAGAAATATTTTAAGACTCTAGAAGAAAGTAAATTAGAATTAATTTGAGGATATTTAAGTATTTCAATTCCTTTCATTCCCCTACCCCAAGACTTTTTTACCCTATCTACTTTAAAAAACCATAAGCCTGTGTATGTTTCACAGGCATCCCTTGTTTCATCGCATTTTGCAGATACTTCATTTTTTACAAATTGAAGGTCTGTGGTCACCCTGCTTTGAGCAAGTCTTTTGGTGCCATTTTTTCCAACAGCATTTGCTAATTTTGTGTCTTTTTGTCACATTTTGGCAATTCTTGCAATATCTCAAAACTTTTTCATTATGTTTGTTATGGTGATCTGCAATCAGTGATCTTTGATGTAACTATTACAATTATTTTGGGGCACCATGAACTGTGCCCGTGTAAGATGACATACTTAATAAATACTGTGTTTTGTTCTAATTGCTTTATTCACTGGTTGTTCCCCATCTCTCTCCCTCTCCCCTGAGACACAACAGTATTGAAATTAGGCCAATTAATAACCCTATAGTGGCCTGTAAGTATTCAAGTGAAAGGAAGAGTCATACACATCTCACTTTAAATCAGAAGCTAGAAATGATTAAGCTTCGTGAGGAAGGCATGTTGAAAGCCGAGATGGGCCAAAAACTTAGCCTCTTGCACTAAATAGACAACTTGTGAAGGCAAAGGAAAAGTTCTTGAAGGAAATTAAAAGTGCTACTCCAGTGAGCACATGAATAATGAGAAAGTGAAACAGCCTTATTGCTGATAGGGAGAAAGTTTAAGTGGTCTGGATAGAAGATCAACCACAACATTCCCTCAAGCCAAAACCTAATCCAGAGCAAGGACCTAATTCTCTTCAATTCTGTGAAGGCTGAGAGAGGTGAGGAAGCTTCAGAAGAAAAGTCTAAAGCTAACACGGTTTGGTTCATGAGGTTTAAGGAAAGAAACTGTCTCTGTAACATCAAAGTGCAAGGTGAAGCAGCAAGTGCTGATGTAGAAACTGCTGCAAGTTATCCAGAAGATTTAGCTAAGAATATTATGAAGCTGTCTACACTAAACAGTAGGTTTTCAGTGTAAATGAGACAGCCTTCTAGTGGAAGAAGATGCCATCTGGATGGACTTCCATAGCTAGAGAGGAGAAGTCAGTGCCTAGCTTCCAAGGACAGGGTGACTCCTGTTAGGGTCTAATATAGCCGGTGACTTTAGGTTGAAGCCAATGCTTATTTACTGTCCTGAAAATCCTAGGGTCCTAAACAATTATGCTAAATCTACTCTCCTATGCTTTATAAATGGAAGAGTAAAGTCTGAATGACAGCACTTTTGTTTACAAAATGGTTTACTGAATATTTTAAGCCCACTGTTCAAACCGGCTCAGAACAAAAAATTCCTTTTAAAATACTACTGCTCATTGAACAATGTACTTGGTCACCCAAGAGTTCTGATGTACAAGGTACATGTTGTTTTCATGCCTGCTAATACATCTATTTTGCAGTTTATACAATATCTGAATAAAGGAGTAATTTTGACTTTGTAGTCTTACTATTTAAGAATACATTTTGTTAGACTATAGCTGCCATAGGTAGGGATTCCTCTGATTGATCTGGACAAAGTACACTGAAAACCTTCTGGAAAGGATTCACCATTCTAAGATGCCAGTAAGAACATTTGTGATTCCACGGGTAGAGGTCAAAATATCAACATGAATAGGTGTTTGGAAGAAGTTGATTCCAGCCCTCCTGGATGGTTTTGAGGGCTTCAAGACTGGTGAAGGAAGTAACTGCAGATGTGGTAAAAATAGCAAAGAACTAGAATGAGAAGTGGAGCCTGAACATATGACTGAATTGCTGCAACTCATCATAAAAGTTGATTGGATAAGGAGTTTGCGGATGAGCAAAGAAAATGGTTTCTTGAGATGGTGAAGATGCTGTGAAGATTGTTGAAATAACAACAAAGGATTTAGAATATTACATAAACTTAGTTGATAAAGCAGCAGCAGGGTTTGAGAGGATTGACTCCAATTTTGAAAGAAGTTTTGCAGATAAAATATCCAAACAGCATGACGTGCTGCAGATAAGTCGTTTGTGAAAGGAAGAGTCAATTAATGTGGCAAACTCCACTGTTGTCTGTCTTACCACAGCTACCCCATCCTTCAGTAACCACCCCCTGATCAGTCAGCAGCCAGCATCATCAAAACAGGACCTTCCACCAGCAAAAGGATTATGACTCACTAAATGCTTAGATGATGGTTTTTAGCAATAATGTATTTTTAAATTAAGGTACATGCATTAGTTTTTTAGACAACGATGTTGCACCCTTACTAAAGTACAGTATAGTATAAACATAACTTTTATGTGTATTGGGAAACCAAAAACTTCAATAGTCTGACTTACTTTTTTGTAAACTTGCTTTTAGTATGGTGGTTTAGAACTGCATCTACAGTATCTCTGAGGTATACCTGTAGTTTCACTTACCCAAAAAATACATTTTCCCTTTATGGCCTAAATATTTTTTATAATTTCTTCATTATCATGGTAGACTTACTGAAATAAAAGTCCAAACATGTTTTATGTAGTTTTTTCATAAGAGAACTGTGGTTCAGCATATCCTGTAGTGAGGAAGAAATTAATTCTCTACACAGTGGGGATCGTCAGCTAATGAGTGAGCCATCAAAGGTCAAATAGTCCATAAAGGGTAAAATCCTTCCTCAGGAAAGCATTGTACCAAAGTTCAACGATTGATTAGTGGCAGTTTCATATAATTCAACATAAGAATAGCACCAAAACCCGTAAGGTATTTTTTAATCTTTTTTTTTTTTTTTTTTAAGATTTATTGATTTTAGGGAGAGACCGTGCATGCATGCACAGCAGGGGAAGGGGCAGAGGGAGAGAATCTCAAGCATACTCCCCACTAAAAGTTGGAAGCTCAACCAACTGAGCCACCCAGGCGCCCCTATTTTTTTTTTCCACGTTTTTAGTGTTATCTTACAAAAAGCTAACTGTGTGCCTTTTGTCTGTGAACCCAGTTTTTGGTGGTGTTGTTATTGATTGTTGGGAGAAGTAATCAAGGCATATATCCCTCACAGCTTGAATAAAATTTGAGAAGAGCCTGGAAAATGTCATTAGTAGATAAACTGAAATGAAGTCTCTGAGGATTTCAATTTCTCTGTGAATTCTACTTCAATAATAATATCATTTAGAAAAATATTCTAAGATGTTTTATGTTCAGATCTTGGTAGTTTCCTCATTATTTACTTTTTGTAAATATTGTATAATTATGCATTGTTAAAAATATATAATAATTATAAGAAAGAATAAATCATCAGGGTACAAGTATATAAAGTAAAAGTTCTGTTTTCCTCACATATTTATTCTCTTCTCCCTTTTACTTTTCTTCGCTCCCTGGAGTAGTCAGTGTTAAATTTGGTTTGTAGTATTCCATAGCTTTTCAATGTGCATATCTATCTTTTTTTTTTATACAGGTGATAATACTATTGACATTTTTGTTTGTTCAGATTTGCCTCGTTGTTTTAAACTGGTGCTTTGTATTAAATGAATAGTCATGTATTTTGTCAGCCTTGTATTAATGGGTATATAGACTTTTTTGTTTCCTATTTACAGTGTTGTATGCATTCCTGTATGTTTTTGTGCGCTTGTGTGAATATATTTATAAGATAAAATTTCACATTTTTTAGAAAGATTTTATTTATTTATTTGAGATAGAGAGTGGTGGGAGGAGCAGAGGGAGAGGGAGAAGCAGGTTCCCCCCTGAGCAGGGAGCCTGATGTAGGGCTTGACCCCAGGACCCTGAGATCATGACCCAAGCCAAAGGCAGATACTTAACTAACTGAGCCACCCCGGAGGCCCAAAATTTCAGATTTCTTAGGTGAAAGACTGTGCTTTAACAACCTTCCTCCTTTATCAGGTTAGGCTCTTAGCAGTTTGAGAATTCCTGGTTTCTACATTTTTGCCAGGTGGTTGGTCCTAGTCTGACTTACTAAAAAAAAAAATGTCTTGGGGGGCGGAGCAAGATGGCGGAGGAGTAGGAGACCTGGATTTTGTCTCCTCTCAGGAAAAAAAAAAAATGTTTTCTCATTTTAAATTTGCTTTTTTTTTTAAAAGATTTTATTTATTTATTTGTCCGAGAGAGAGAGACAGAGAGTGAGCGCACAAGCAGGGGAAGGGAGAAGCAGGCTACCTGCTGATCAGGGAACCTGATGTGGAACTCGATTCCAGGACCCTGGGATCATGACCTGAGCCGAAGGCAGGCACTTAGCCACCCAGGCGTCCCTAAATTTACATTTCTTTTATTGATGTTGCAAAGCTGTTTTATATATATTGAACATTTTTGTTTTTATCTGTGGACAGTCCGCTCAGTTATTTTGTCTAGGGGTGGGGGGCAGGTATTCTTTTATTTACAGGGTGCCTGGGTGGCTCAGTTGGTTAAGTGTCCCTCTTCTGATTTTGAGTCGGGTCATGATCTCAGGGTTGTGAGATCAAGCCCTGCATTGGGCTCTTGCTCAGCAGGGAGTCTGCTTGAGATCTTTGCCCCCATCTTTCTAAAATAAATAATTTTTTTTTTTTTTAAGTTTATTTCCAAGCATTGTAATTAAGGATGCTAACATATCCATGTATGACATTAGGTTGAAAGTGAATTAGCCAAATCATTTGTCTTTTAACATTGTCTGTGGGATTACATGGTTTTTTTCCTACAGGATTTTTTTTTTTTTTCAGGTTTTTGATTTTTATGTAGTCCAGTACCACCTTTTCTCCATGGCTTCTGGGTTTCATGTTCATCTTAGGAATAACTTTATCCACATAATTATTCTATTTAATAGCTGCATAGTGGTCTATTTTATTGGTGTATATTTTATTTAAGTCAGTTCTCAAACTTTTGGTCTCATGACCTTTTTATTGAGGACCCCACAGAGCTTTGGTTATGTAGATTTTTATCTATTTCCATTTAGTATATAAACCTGAGAAAATGTAAAATTACATATTCATTTAGAAAATCCATTGCATGTTAACATAAATTTTTTTATGAAAAAATATTCAAAAATATAGTGGGAAGAATAGCATTTTTGCATTTTTATAAATCTCTTTAAGTGCCTGACTTAACAGAAGTTAGTGGTATGTATTTCATAGCTGTTTCTGCATTCAGTCTGTGAAGGAGATAAGTTATTTCATAGGAAGTATAAGAATATATGACCTCATACAAGTACGTGGTTGGAAAAGGAGGATTTTTTAATAGCCTTGTAAGTTAATTATAGATATTCTCCTTTGATAATAGGTTTTTTATAGGTCAGCTGCAATGTAGAATCTGCAACCATATCCAAGAACCTTTCCTTCTCTGTTACATTAATATCTATTGGCCTGTCTTGCATTTGGCATGGATCTTTTACCCATGCATGATTTTGCCACACCAGTGGTCATTTGGAAAACATTGGTTCAGTGAGTTATGCAGATCTTCTGGATATTGATACTTCTCATTAATGATACAGTATGAAAACCGTAACATTCATAATATCACTACTAAACTCATCAGAAATGTCTTTAAGTTTTAGTAAGTTTGTCTCAGTGGCATATGCAGGCTTTCCAAAATTCTGATTTTCTCCTGAAAGCTCACATTACAAGCATCAGGCTTACTCTCCTTATTTTCAAGAAATAACCTGGTTTATCTATCAGTCATGGTTAAAATGGAGTTCTATGAAAAAAGTGGCTAGTTCATGTCACAGTTCAATTCATTAAGCATTGATTGTACCTTGGTATGCAGAAATGGTTTTTTTTTTTTTTAAAGATTTTATTTATTTGACAGACAGAGACAGCGAGAGAGGGAACACAAGCAGGGGGAGTGGGAGAGGGAGAAGCAGGCTTCCCGCGGAGCAGGGAGCCCGATGTGGGGCTCGATCCCAGGACCCTGGGATCATGACCTGAGCTGAAGGCAGATGCTTAACAACTGAGCCACCCAGGCGCCCCTGTTTTTGATTTTTTGCAGAATATGAAAAAGATGTACATAGATTGAAATTTAATGAAACCAATAATTACTGCTTCGTCAGTGGCATTCTTAACTGCAACTGATGTTGTTACTGTGAGAGGTGGTGAAGGTAAAGGGTACAATGACTGCTAGTACAATTTGGTCCCATTGTATGGAACTTGCTAAGACGCCAGGAGATTTATCCCACCATTGCTTTTGCACCATTAGTACAAATGTCAACACAGTGAAAAATAAAATAATGTCTTAGGATTATTATGAAAATAGTTCTTATCAGAGCTCCTGAAAGGGTCCTGGAGTCCCCTAAGCATTTGCAAACCACATTTTGATAACTGGATTTAAATGATTCCTTGTTGAAAGCACAAAAGATGTTTCCAAATTTTCCAACATTAAGAACATTTCTGTACAAAATTTTTGCCTAATCATCTAATTATTTTCTTAGGATAAATTTTTATATGTTTAGTGGCTGGATACAGTAAAAAAAAAAAAACAGTTTTATCATTTTTAATTGGGAGGTATAATTGACCTATAATGTTAGTTTCAGGTGTAAAACATGACTCAGTATTTGTGTATATTGTGAAATGATCGCTATAGTAAGTGTACTTAATATCTGTCACCATATGTAGTTATAAAGTTTTTTTTTCCTTGTAATGAGAACTTTTAAGATTTAGTCTCTTAGCAACTTTCATATACATAATACCTTGTCATTAACTGTAGTCACCACGTTGTATATAGTTAATGATTTATTTATTTTATAACTGGAAGTTTGTACCTTTTGACCCTCTTCATCCCTTTTCACCCAGCCCCTACCTCTGGCAGCCACCACTCTGTTTTCTGTGTTTATGACCTTGGTTTTTTAGTTTGTTTTTTGTTTTAAGATTCCCCATATAAATGAGAACATACGGTATTTGTCTGTCTTTGTCAGTTAGCATATGCCCTCAAGGTCCATCCAATGTCTCAAATGACAGATTTCTTCCTCTTTTTTTGTGGGTGAATAATATTCCATTGTGTACATACAACATTTTCTTTACCCATTCATTCATTGATGGGCACTGAGGTTGTTTCCACATCTTGGCTATTGTAAATAATGCCGCATGAACATGAGGGTGGTGCATATATCTATTTGAGTTAGTGTTTTCATTTTCTTCAGATAAATACCCAGAAGTGGAATTGCTGGATGATATGGTAGTTCTATTTTTAATTTTTTGATGAAAGGTTTAATTAATTTTGGAAGACCAGAGTATAGTACTTGACCTTATTACATGTGTGTTTAATAATTTCTGTGCCTTTGCTTTTTTCTTTTTTGTCCTTGATAGCGGCTTGGCAAATTCACATTATCAAGTGGATGTTGAAATGCATCTTATTTTTATGTCAGATTATCCAAGCATTAATCATGGAGTTATGAAATGTATATATGTGTTTGGAAACCTGTCTTCAGACAACATTATTCTAAAGGAGAAAATGAAATTTCCCTTTTGAGTTACCTTTGGTATCATAATTCAGATAATTGTAATAAAGATGTTATCTTGGGATATTTAAGTGTAGCTTTGATGTGACATGAGTTTATCTTCTAGGTATTAGAATAAAACTTTTTTTTAATAGTTATATATAGATGTGTAGAAACTAGTATACATTATTATTTTTTTTTTTTTCAGAACGTATCTGTGATAGCATTCCCCAGTGAATCTCTTTATTTTGTTATTTTCCCATTTGTGTGCTTGAGTAAACAGAGAATTGCATTTCATAGTTGTTCCCCCTTTTTTAGGAGTCTCTCATTTTCCACTCTTGGCTAGTATCTTTTCATTTCTCTGAAAATTCAGCTTTCTTGCTCCCTGCTTTCTTTTCTGGTTAAGTGCTTCTGCTGTTTTTCTTAAGTAACTGCTTGATTATCTCTATCATAGCACTTACCACACTGTAATTGTCTATTACATTTCTGTGAATTACTCTGGGGGATGAGCTTCAATGGGTCTCTAAAGTATAGCAGAGAATCTGTTAGGAAATAGGTACAAAATACATACTTTCTAAATGAAAGAGCAAAAACTACTCATTATTTTCCACTGTAATAGTACCTACCATTTAAAATTATTTTTAAAATAAAATAAATTTTTAATTGTGGTAAAATACACCATAACATAAAATTCACCATCTTAGCCATTTTTTAAGTGAGGTTCAGTAGTGTTAAGTACATCCATACTGTTGTGCAACCAGTCTCCAGAACTCTTTTCATCTTGCAAAACTGAAACTCTGTACCCATTAAACAGTTGTCCATTCCCTTTCCTTCTAGCCCCTGCCATTTTACTTTCTGTCTCTATGAATTTGATTACTTGAGATACTTCATACAAGTAGATTCATACTGTTTGTCTTTTTTGATTGGCTTATTTCACTTAACATAATGTCCTTAAGGTTCATCCTCAGACTTTCTTTTTTAAGTCTGACACATATTCCACTGTATGTTTAAACCACATTTTATTTATCTATTCATCTGTCAGTGAGGAGGTGGGCTGCTTCCTCCCTTTGGCTATTGTGAAGAATGCTGCTAGGAATGTAAATTAAAAACTACCATGTTTGACACTGACTTTTTACTTTTAGATGGGCACTCTGGTTTTTTAAAAATGATAAAAGCAAAACTTGGCAAGCAAACCTTCGGCTGATCTCTAAGTTTGATACTGTTGAAGACTTTTGGGCGTAAGTAACCATTTTAGGATGTTTGTTTTATTGTGTAATTTTTCATTTTGAGTCACATTCACAAAATGAAGGATAAGGTAAACAACTAATAAATGTGCATCTATAGACCTACCTTTTTGTTTGTCCGTCTCCTCACAACTGTTTGAATTGATTATATCTCATCATTTAGAAAGCTTCAGTCTTGTCATCCTTTAGTCCTGTGTATATTCTATATTTCTTGTCCTAAGAGATCCTTCCCTTGAGAGTCCTTTCTTGCTTCTAGAACTTTTGACAATTTGTTGGAATCTATCCCTTTTCTTGGTTGCCTAGATACATTTGCCTAATACTCCAGAGCTTTGTTAGGTTCCCATTTGTGCAAATTCTTTTTGGTGTAACACCTGGGATTTCCTGTGATAGGGATTCTGAGATTTTTCAAAGGCTGAAAGGTTTGTCCAAGTATCTGTGATGGTAGTTGATCAACTTAAAGATATTCTTTGAGATTTTGTTTCAGATTTAGCAAAAAGTTAAGATTTGGGGGTCAAAACTTTTTTCAAGATGTTTTGTAGTAGTGATTCTCAAAAAAAAAAGTTAATATGTAATTTATTTGAAAAATAATTTTCATTTCAAGGATAAAACTTGTTAAAACATTTTTAAGAGGTGTAAATTAATTAGCAGTTACCTAAAAATTCTAATTTGTACATCTAGTATATTTTTGGATCCTATATATGTTGAATCAGTGATGCAACTCTTATGTATTAACATAACCCCTGAGTTTATTTTGCCCACACAGAAGAACAGATTGTCAGAAGATTCATTTATGTATACTTCTTCCAGGGCAGAAACAGTATTCTTCTGTATCTTTGCAGTGCTTTGCCCGTAATAGGCATTTAGTATGCATTTGAATCATGGAAAACAAAAAAGCATAGAATAATTAGAGAAAACTCTTAAATTTTAAGCTATGCACTTTAAGAGTGGTCACTTTATACTGAAATCATTATCTTTTTTAAAAGTAATGGAACTATATTTAAATCCCCAGTAATTCATAGGCTTATTTGTCTAGTTAAACTAGTGTTGCTGTGTTTTGCCCTTCATCAAAGCATCAAGTGATTTTCTTCTTTGTATTTGTTTGAGTCCTCTTAACCAAAAAGTCTCCAATCTCCTATGGAGGAGGAAGAGCAAGAGTCTTGAACCATTTCCCCCACTGAACCAGATCTGCATTTATCTGGTTTGTTTGGCTTTTCACCAGTTTACATAATTGGGTTTCTAAGTGGGCCTCTAATTAGAACATGGCCCCCATACTTTAGTTATGTGTAAGCAATGTCGTTGCATAGTGGACTTTTACACTTAGACATATGCAGGAATTCTGTAGCTTTCTCTAAATACCTAAGCATTTCTTAATTTCTTTTTTCCTGGCAGATTTAGTAGTAAACAGCTGTTGAGCCCTTTGGGATTTATCCAGTCTTGTCTGTAGTGCTTTGATTCTGTTTAAATGTGTCATTACAAATTCTCATTACTATAAACTTAATAGACCTTAGAGCATCATGAAGGAGAAAGGAGACAGCATAAAGAAGCATTTCTACCTTGAATGCAATTGAAGAAAGCATTTCCACCCTGTCCGTTAATTTCGTAAAGTGGTAGTGCTAATTCTATAGTTACTGTTACTATCCAGGCCTCTTTTGTTGCCTAGTGGAAGCTGCCAGTGATAATGTAGTTTGGAAAGAGTGACCATTGAGTAACTCTACAGATCTTATTCAGCCTTAGGCTACCTTCCCCTAAATTGGATTTGTATGTATCTGTGGAATGTGATCCAAAGGATTCCAGAACCTTTCTTAAAACTCTACTTGAAATATTTCTAGACTGGGTTAAAATAGCATCAAGAGAATCTGACTAAGGATAATAGCATTGACTATGATCTACAGATGTAGTAAAGATCATGTTTCTGCAACTAATATTGGAGACAGGCAAAGCATTCTTATTCTGTTGCCAATTTTATAATAATTTTGCAAGAAGAAACTTTAGGAGATCAAATGATTTAGCCTTCTACCTTCAGGCTAGTGAATATCTAAGTCATCCCAAGTGTTATTCTGTTACATTGATATTTGGGGGAAAGTTTAGAAATACAGATTCCAGGGTTCCACCCTATCTATAAAGGGATTAAAATCACAAGGAGTAGGGCCTGGGGTGGTTTTTGTTTGCTTGCTGCTTTGTTTTTTCCAAAGCTTTCCAAATGGTTGCTATGCTGACTGACTAGTAATGACTGCAGTATTTGAGACCCATTGGTCTGTTCTAGGATGCCTTCAAGGATATTAGTGTTGTCGTTTAGTCATGCAGTCCTGACTTTCCCTTGATTTGTTTTTTTGTGTGTTTAAAACTGCTCATTAGCCTCATGAATTCTTTCATGTACTTAAAGGCGCGTCATACCTCCTATTATCAGTTTCTTATATATACATATGTATGCACTGAGTTAACTATATATCAAAATATACTTTTGTCAGAATAAAATCATTAAAAATACTTTCTTAAAAATCCTATCAAATGCTAATTCTTGAACTGACCATTATTAAGATACCTGTTTGGTCTATTACAGAAATTGACTCTGTAGACAAACAAGTAAACATGAACTTTTATCTTTTTATTTTATCATATTCTCTAAATATATATGTAAGTAAGATACCTGTTTGGTCTATTACAGAAATTGACTCAGTAGACAAACAAGTAAACATGAACTTTTATCTTTTTATTTTTATCATATTCTCTAAATATATATGTAAGTACCTAAACTCTGCATTACATATTCTGTGTTTATAATTGTCCTTTTCTTTTACCTAGTCTGTACAACCACATCCAGTTGTCTAGTAATTTAATGCCAGGCTGTGACTACTCACTTTTTAAGGTATGCTTAACTGGTGATTTCATATATTTATTATAAGACTGGACCATTCAGTTACACATTAAGAAATCTTGTCAGAAACTTAGGAATAGTTAATGCTCTGAGGTTTGGAGAATAAATAAATTAATTTTACTGGGCTTTTAGCATAAACAAATTTTACGCTATTGGTATAAATAATTGAAATTGAGAGACTTACTCTATGGGCACACACTGTGATTGATTTTTGAAGAGAGCTTTGATCATCCAGTCCAGTCTCTCTTATACATTTGAGTAGACTGAGGTCTAGAGTTTGTCAGGAATTCTTAACCTGGGATGCATTGGTCTTTGGGATATTTATATTTATAAATGGGTTTGTCAAGTGGTAGGGGGTGGGGCATTCATTAACTCTGAAATTGCATAATTTTTGCATATATTTTCTAGATATCAAAATGTATGTAGCTTCTCAAGGGTATCCATTTCTCAGTGTTTAAGAACCTCAAATTAAAGGAAACCCAAGGTTTGATAGCTAATAAATATCTGTCAGGACTCTAATTCTGCAGTCCCACGCCTCTGGCTTTAAGTCCTGCCTGCTTTTTTCCCCACTACATCAATAATAGCTTTATGGAGAATAAAATAAGAAGTTGATAGAGTTGTTGCTTCCTCTTTTCTAGTGATCTCCCCAATTAAAGTAACAATTTTGTCTAATATTATTACCTACTAACCTTGTAGGATGGTATTGAGCCTATGTGGGAAGATGAGAAAAACAAACGAGGAGGACGATGGCTAATTACATTGAACAAGCAGCAGAGACGAAGTGACCTGGATCGCTTTTGGCTAGAGACAGTAAGGTTTTAAAATTATAAAGCAGTTTTGGAATACTAAAACTTAATTTGGATTACATTTTACATCGGTTACTTAATTCAAGAGATAAGGATGCCCACCCTATAAAATCTAAGCCAGCAATTTTGTTCTGTCATGTGAATACCCTATATTTTACATAGTGGTACAGTGAAACCCCATACCATAGTACAAATCAGATAAAAAGTGATTGGCAGTTGACTCTCATCTTCCATGAGAGAGCTCATCCTGGTCATTTCATTAACTTAAAAATTATAGGACCTCGCATTTTGTATGATGTAAGTTTTTACAGCCCTCTTAGAGTATTACTTTGTATACTAAATTTTTTAGATCAGTGAAGCAAACAATGAAATTGTAGCTTGATATTATTTACCTTATGTATTGTGTTATATATTGTGATATAACCTGGAACTTTTGGCTTTATAAAACCTATATTAAATATGAGGTAACTGTCATTTTCTCTAGTGAGAAGTTCTAAACCCCAAGCTATCAGAAGTAGGGATAATAGTCTCTCTTGGATTCTTAGCACTTGTCACAGTGTCTCATTTATAGTTAGCACTTACTAAGTTAAGCAGTTAGTATTTGAATGAATGTTGTTTGGGGTTTTTTTGTTTTTGTTTTTTAAATGAAGAGACTTAATTTTGCTTTGGGGGAGGTTATCAGTAAATACACTTTAGAATTCCACTTTAAAAAGTTATTTCAGTTTTGTAAGATGACAAAAGTTCTGGAGATGGATGGTTGTGATAGTTATACAATGTTGTCAGTATACTTAATGCCACTGAACCATACCCTTAAAAATGGTTAAAGTGATTTAATGGCATGTGTTGTCTATACTCAAAAATAATTTTAATGGTCAAAATGGGTAAAATTTATGTATATTTGCCACAATAAAGAAAAATTGTGTTCATGAAAAACAGCAAGAACAAGAGGCAGCATGAGCAACTATTCAGTTATTCCATTAATATTTGTTTGCTGGCAAATAGAAGCAGCAGCAGAACAGATGAATATTAAGATGAGTTGCATTTTATTTTTGCCCTGACATCAATTGCGCCATTTGCTTAAAAAGCTAAAACAACTGTTAATGTTCTTGATAACAAAGAAACAAATGAATTTTTAAAAAGTCAGGACAAAGACCTATATACATAAATACAATTTAGACATTCAAAAAGTCAACTTTTGATTTAAAAACTGTTTCAGTTTTGTATATATACAAATATAGGAGACATTTGTAGTTCAATAAGCAGTGTATAATTTATTTCATGTAATTTGGGATTGATTTTTTTTTTTTAAAGCTGCTGTGCCTTATTGGAGAATCTTTTGATGACTACAGTGATGATGTATGTGGAGCTGTTGTTAATGTTAGAACTAAAGGTGATAAGATAGCAATATGGACTACTGAATGTGAAAACAGAGAGGCTGTTACACATATAGGGTAAGTTTTGCTGTTTGTATACTTCCTTTAAAATATTAAGATAAGAAAATAAAATATTAAGATAACTAAAAGCAGAAGTACTGTTATTTATAGCTTTAAAAATACTTGGATTTGTAGATCATTATTTTCCTTGTAATGTCTTCATGAAAACTTATAATCCTTAACTGTTCTGTTGGTTTTCATTTTCTTTTTTTTTTTTTTTTTAATTTCTGTAAAATTTCTTTTCCTTCACAATGGAGTATATAATCAATCACTAGAGCACTCTGTTTTGGCATGTAGCATTTTATTCATTTGTCATAGGACAGTATTGTCTTTTTTCTACTTTAAAATCATAACATTAATATTATAATACTCTTAGTAATTCCATGAGTGTTGGCAAATAGTATATGTGTATTCTGTGCACATGTGTGTACACTGTACATAAAATTTTCAGTGACATGTGTCTTAGTTCTGTACATATTTTTAAAACCCACATGTGTATGTTTTTTAATTTTTGTGTGTGTGAATATTACTCCTTGCAAAAATTGCCTATCATTCCCGCCCCCGTCCCACCCCATACGTTGGTCATTGTTAACTGGGATTTTCTTTTTATTACATTTAAGTTAGTAAAATTTTACTTTAAATTTTGTGTTAAAATTAAGTATTGCTTATCGGTCACAAAATGTTTGGTTTGTCCTTTGTGATTTTTTTCAAACATTATGAATTCCCCTTTAGTCCTTTTTGAACTAAAGGTATGGAGATTCTCCAGGTTTCATGCTACAGAGGTTTTCTCTAAAAGAAAAGTTGACTGTTGATTTGTGGTCGTATTCTAATCTTTCTGTCAGCATCAAAACTTATTAGTTGTGGGGATTTCATATTTGAAAACAGTTTAAAAATAAGTGTGAATTTCTTTCCTCTGAAAATCTTGTATTTGTGTCAGTATTAAAAATTATTGAAATCTTTGTGAAATATCTGACTTCAGTTTTTCAAGGGAGGGTTTCTTTTTTTTTTTTTTTTTAACCCTTCCAAGTTACATGGCTCAGTGCTCTGGCCTTCTGGCATTTTTAATGGTTAAGTATAATGGAAGGGAATACATTGTATCATAATATAAATCTGATAATAGTTATTTTAGTTATCATAAAATTATTTTTAGAAACTATTTGAAGGAAGGTAGTAGAATCTTCTGGAAGGTGGAGTATGGATAAAACTGTCCTGGTATCATATTGGAGAATTTAGCTCCAATATGTATAAATGTATATCGCTTTATTTTGGTGTTTATTTTTGAAGTGTTGCTATTTTTTCTTGAGAATAAATGTCTGGATTCCTACTTTTCCTGTGATGCTATGATCTGTCCCCAATTTTACTTTGTCATCCTTTTTGCTCATACTCCTTTTCCTTACGAGCTGTAGCCACACAGCCTTACTTTGTTTCCCAGCCTTCAGATGTGCTTCTTTCTCTCAGCATTTTACTTTCAACCTCATGACTTTTAAAGGGGAAATTTCTCTGATTTCACAGACAAGATTAGGTCATCCTTGTTATACAATATCACAGCCCCTATACTTACTCACTTTGGCACTCATCATAGTTTGTTCTTAAAATAGAGTCAAATATTATTTGAAAATTAGGTTGCAGAGCTAGTATATAAAGCAGAAATGATGTATGTTCTAAATTACTCTGAAAATATAAAGTAATAATTACAGTAAATAATTTGCAGTAATAGACAATATTTATTATGATTTATATGTAAAATATAATTTAGCATTTTATTTCAGAAAATTAAAGTAGACATGTAGACAATTAATTTTGTATAAATGAGTTATGCATGTGATACAGCTCCAGTATATGTATTTTTTTTTTTTTTAAGATTTTTATTTATTTATTTGAGAGAGAGAATGAGAGAGAGTACATGAGAGGGGGGAGGGTCAGAGGGAGAAGCAGGCTCCCCGCCGAGCAGGGAGCCCGATGCGGGACTCGATCCAGGGACTCCAGGATCATGACCTGAGCCGAAGGCAGTCGCTTAACCAACTGAGCCACCCAGGCGCCCCTCCAGTATATGTATTTGTGATTATTTGTTTATAAATAATCAAATACTATAAACACCCAGGGACTGTCCATGCTTTGCTTATTATTGATTTATTAGTAATTACACACACAGTACCTGATAACATAGTAGAGTCTAAATATTGGTTAAGTGATTAACTGAGATTGTTTTGAAAAATGAAGAGTAAATTTTGCTAAAAGGAAAAGGGTGTACAATTTCCTGTTTCACTCTCTGGACTTTGTTTTTAATGTAAAGTAATATCAAATTTGGTGTGTGTGAATAAAAATTAATGGCTACTGTTTTTCTTTTTCTTCTTTTAGGAGGGTATACAAGGAAAGGTTAGGACTTCCTCCAAAGATAGTGATTGGTTATCAGTCCCATGCAGACACAGCTACTAAGAGCGGCTCCACCACTAAAAATAGGTTTGTTGTTTAAGAAGACACCTTCTGAGTATTCTCATAGGAGACTGCGTCAAGCAATCGAGATTTGGGAGCTGAACCAAAGCCTCTTCAAAAGCAGAGTGGACTGCATTTAAATTTGATTTCCATCTAAATGTTGCTAAGATAGAAGTCTCATTCGCCTTTGTCTTGTACTTCTGTGTTCATGGGTTGTTTTTTTTTTTTTTTTTTTAATTTTGGCTAGAGTGTCCACTATCCCAATCAAAGAATTACAGTACACATCATCCCCAGAATCCATAAATGTGTTCCTGGCCCACTCTGTAATAGCTTAGTAGAATTACCATTACAAACACATCTTACCCATCCACAATATTCAAAAAAGAACTTGCATTTCTATACCTTACAGGAAAAAAATTCTGTTTATGTTCCATTGTATGCAGGAGCATATTTTGCTGGTTTGAAAGAGTATGAAGCATACAGTTTTCTAGCAATTTTCTTTGTTTCCTTTTACAGCATTGTCTTTGCTGTACTCTTGCTGATGGCTGCTAGATTTTAATTTATTTGTTTCCCTACTTGATAACATTAGTGATTCTGATTTCAGTTTTTCATTTGTTTTGCTTTTGTTTTTTTCCTCATGTAACATTGGTGAAGGATCCAGGAATATGACACAAAGGTGGAATAAACATTAATTTTGTGCATTCTTTGGTAATATTTTTGTTTTTTTTGTAACTACAAAGCTTTGCTACAAATTTATGCATTTCATTCAAATCAGTGATCTATGTTTGTGTGATTTCCTAAACATAATTGTGGATTATAAAAAATGTAACATCATAATTACATTCCTAATTAGAATTAGTATGTCTGTTTTTGTATCTTTATGCTGTATTTTAACACTTTGTATTACTTAGGTTTTTTTGCTTTGGTTAAAAAATGGCTCAAGTAGAAAAGCGGTCCCATTCATATTAATAAGACAGTGTACAAAACTGTAAATAAAATGTGTACAGTGAATTGTCTTTTAGACAACTAGATTTGTCCTTTTATTTCTCCATCTCTATAGAAGGAATTTGTACCTCTTATTGCCAGGCAGTCTCTATTGTGTCTTCTTGTAGTGTCTTCCACGTGAACAGCATAAGTTTGGAGCACTAGTTTGATTATTATGTTTATACAAATTTTAATAAATTGAATAGGTAGCACCATATATATGGAATTAAATTGATGTGGCTATCTTTGTTTTTTTATACAGGAAGGCACAGTCCTTCGGTCTTAGGTAAATAATGTACTCTTAATGTGGTAAAACTCCAGAGAGTTGTTATCTTGGTGCGTTACCATTTGATTGGTAGGAATGGTAGTTGTAAAACTTGGTTGCTGAATTGAGATATTCTTTTGTAAGTGTCAACATGATAGCATAGGGAAAGAATTCAGGTAGTGGGGGCATATTCATTAAGAATTTTGTTAGTGTTACTGTCTAAATAGAATGGAATAAATAGGTATGAAGACATATTTATATTGGTAAATTGGTATAGTATGGTTTTATGTAAATTTGAAAACTTGATCTACTCTTTGTAGGCATTTGAAAGCACATGTGAAAAACTCTGTACATAATAATTGTGTGTTTCAGATGAGAGAAAATGAAATATGGCTATTATAGACAAAAGGGTAAGCTGGACTTATAGATAGAATGAAAATCATTAGATAAGAGGAAAATTTGTCTTTAAATGGTGATTATGAATTAATTTAAAGACTGATACGTTTGACAAAAATCCTATATAAAGTAAACATGAAATTAATAGTATTGATTTCATTGAAGAATTTTAAAACCGTTTAAAGGGTGCCACAGGCTACCATCTGAGTACTCAATACCACAAACACCTCTTGTTCAGTATTCTAGAAATACTGAATCTTTTGTGTTTATAATCTCAATAGACTGTACCTGATACCTGCTTTTTAAGCTTGGGTGGTTAGATAAGGTGATTTATTGTCTGTTGATATGTGTAGTTGTGAGCACTACAAGAGCTGCTTGTAAGTGATGGTGGTGGTGGTGGTGTGTTGGCAATGGGTGGGATTGGAGTAGTATATCTATTAGAAATCAGTGCTCTATTTCCTTAATTCTAAGATGTAGTCCATTTTAAGAAGCATCGGCTTTCAGGAGTGGAGGGAGGAATAATTAATTAAATGCACACATTTCTAAATTTTTTTAAAAACCTGATTTATAATATGCATTTGATTATTCTTATTATTACCATTTTAGAATCATAATCAGTTTTATTTTAAGTCTTTTCCCAGTGGGTGGGGAGAATGATAAATTACTGAGTCACTTTTGGCAGATGCCACATAAGTATTACAGTGACTTGCAACTTTTCATAACTTCATTAGCATCTTTTCTAAATATAAGATTAGACTGTACATGATTTTCTATCTTTTTTCTCCCTGTCCAGTAGGAGATTATAAATAAATATATTTTCATAATAGAGAATTAAAATCTTTTAATAGAAGAATTGTAATTAATTATAGGGATGTGACATATTTAACCAATTTAATTGTTAATCCAGCTCTAGAGAAGGATTTGAGACATACTGTGTAAGAGTTAAATAATTACAATACTTATATAGTACTTATTATGTGGCAGGCAGTGTTCCAAGCACTTTACATGCACTTTAACTTGCACAATTATCCTTTGATGTAGGTGCTATTATCCCCATTTTATAGATGAAACAGAAGCAGTGAGGATGTAAGTCACTTTACAGCTTGTAAGTTGCAAAATGGATTTGGTTCCAGAGACCCTATAAATCACATTATACTCTCTCAATAGTGTAGAGCCTATCTTACAGGCTATAGTAAATCACACCAGATTGTAGTCATTTTATAGGCCAGGCATTTTATTTTCATTTTACTTCCTTTGGTAATGGAACTTAAAATAGGCCCCCTAGGCTCACCCTGTTAGCAATCAACTAAATTAATCATTTGGGGAGTTTTGAGAACATGGAAACAAAGATAACAGGAGTTTACAGATACATGAGTTACATAGTTAATATAAGTCAAGCAGATATTTTCATATACAACTTTTAAGTGTCTATATCCTGTTATCTTCTAAAATAAATGGTAAAATAAAGCAAAATTATCAAGTTGATAGGAGTCAACATTCTTAAATGCTGTAGCTTGCATTTAAAAGGATAATTTTAATTTTCTAAGGTAGTATGATAATGCAATGTTTTACATTTTAAAATTAAAACGAGTTAATGTCAAGTCTCTATGCTACTTTTTATCTCTCATTGTTAGGGGTTGTCTTCATTATTTAGTGGGGGTCGGGGGAACAACTAAATTCTCTCACTCAGAGTCAGACTCTAGACGAATGCAAGCTTTTAGGTCAGATTGACATTAGAAAACAAAATACTAGGTCATTGTTATCTCTGTGGACCAGTGTAGAAATTGAGAATGTCTACATTCTATAGCAGTTTGATATTACTGTAACATTAAAGTATATGATCAGTAATTTTTCTAGTAATTTTTGAAAATATATTTTACAAAAGTATGTTTTTTGACAGAGTGCAATTTAAGGGTTAAAACTGGTCCTTCACATATAATTTGAGAAACACTACTCTTAGGTAGCTTTCCTCAGGAGCCAAGACCAGCTCATTTGCCCATCCTTCCCTGAAACAACTAGGTTTATTATTTCTCTATGCCTCATCTTCTCACAACTATTGGACTTGATGTCAAAATTTCAGTCCTAAACTGTAACATCTTTAATACTGTGTGGTATCCTGCTTACTATGAATTCCAAAGTAGACATCAGGCAGCCTTCCTAGTACTTTGAGTAGTTTAGACTTTAATGTTGCTGTTAGTATTCCATTGCTAGAAGCCAGAAATGAAATTGCAGTCATGCGGTCACATGTGGTACTATGGTTTTTTTTAATTCAGAGGAACAAATTTTCACTTTATTTTTTAAATTTTATTATTTGACAGAGCGAGAGAGGGAACACAAGCAGGGGGAGGGGGAGAGGGAGAAGCAGGCTTCCCGCCGAGCAGGGAGCCCTATGCGGGGCTCGATCCCAGGACCCCGGGATCATGACCTGAGCCGGAGGCAGATGCTTAACGACTGAGCCACCTAGGTGCCCCCAATTTTCACCTTTTAATCTTGTCCCATTTTCTTTTAATTCAGAACTTGTAATGCCTCATAGTTTTTCACAGAGGTTCTGTTCCTACCTTTCATACCCCCCCAAAAATATGTATTGAATACTTCTATTTGTTATATTCTAGGTAATGGGCATACAGCAGAAAATAGAATGAACAGAATAAAAAGCTCCTGCTGTAAACTTTTAAAAGCAGACATGTCTTAAAAATCCATAAAATTCTACAGGTTTTGTTATTGAAATAGAACTCCTTGCGTCTCTATTACTGGGAATTAATCTGAAGGTACATATAAAATGAGACTGTTTAACATTGAATGAACAGATCACACTATATAGGAAGACTGGACTAAACCCTCACATGCGAATTACAGCTTTTGCAAGACGTAATTTTTACTCTATATTACTGAAGTCCGTAAGATTGTCCAAGAGAAATTTGGTAGTTCTTTTCTGGTTATGTGATTGTACTTTTTAAAAATTACAACTTCCATTTAACATACTGAGTATGGTGAAGCATTTTAAATGTGATTGTGTCTACATTGGTGTGGTTTTATAGACAGCAGTCCTATAGTTACCTTCCCAAAATACTGATAATGTTTTTTCCTTTAATGTTTGATCAAACATAATGATGCATGCTTATTTTATTTTCACTACAGAAAGGTAGAAGGTAAAAATTTCCTTTCTTGTTCAGTCCCACTCTTTTTCAAGGTACCACTCACATCTGTTGTAAATGTCTGAATTTTCTGTGCACACACCAGATATATGTGTGTGTATGTGTGTGTAACTTTGGACACAAATCATTTTGCTGGCGTTTTCTCATTTAGTAATTTTGGACATTTTTAGCTGTCATTGTGCACATAGAACATTATTTTTGTTCATGGTCTAGTGATCCATTGTATGAATGTGTGCTCTGTTGGAGGACTGCCTGCCTGCTTTCCTAGTCATTTTTGCCTTTATAGTCCCCTGTATAAATTGTAGTCTTACCTTTGTATACTGGAGTTTTTTGGGTTTGGGTAAAGGAAATTGTTTTCTGTTCTTTAGCAGTGGCACTTATTCTCTACCCCTTCCCCATCCAGACTGTTCTAATTCACATACATGAATCATCATCAGTTCTGTAACTGTTCTATAGTGCTCCTTTGCAAGTTTTGCCGTTTGGGGCCTTGTGATATTTTTTTGATTGGTTTTTAATTGCTTTACTTTCTCATGAGCCAACATTGTTATAAATACAAGTCATAAATAGTTTCTTTGCTAGATTGTACATTTTCCCAAAGACAAGCAATAAGACCTATTATATTTTAGGCCTGTAAACATTGAAAAAGCTTGAATCAAATATGTTGATATTGGACCCTGTTTTATTTTTAAGCAGTGTAATGAACTTCATAATTTTTGAAATGAGAGCTTTTCCCAAATACATCTATATATTGTCAAAACATTTCCCTTGGCATTTGGTTTTGTTTTTAAGGGTATTAATTTTTTGCTTTATTTTTGTTTTCAACCTTTGACTCAATTTTGTGTAAATAGTTTCTGTGAAATGCCTGTGGAGTTTGTATAGGATACTCTATAAAATAATGTGAGGTGCAAGATTTTGTTCCAACTTGACCCTGCTTTGTGTTGTCTCATGTCAAGGCCTTAAGTGTATTACATACACATTTGGGGCCTTTTCTGTGTTCTGGCTCTGTCTTCCAGATAATGACCATGGTTAAATAATTGCAGCGTCCTGCACTTCCTCAAGCATAAGGGATTTGTTAATTGAGCCAGAATGACATTTAAGGGAATCATGAGTTTTCATTTCACATGCTTTTTCTACTTTCAGGAAACCACTAATTATTCACCTCCTCCTCATGCTTTTCAGAAAGTGCTGTTCTTTCTGTCTTTAAGTATTTATATTTTCCATTTCTGCTATTCTTAGGTTATCCATTCTGTCATTTTATTTATGACAGTGACTTCCAAATATTTGTCCTTATCCATGACCTTCGTCTTGTGCTTCAGATTTGTTTCTCCCTGACTATTGGATCTCTTATGTCAGGGGTTAGCAAACTACCAACTCATAGGCTGCGTTTGGTCTGCATTCCATTTTGTAAATAAAGTTTTATTAAAACAGCCACATCCATTTGTTTATATATGTCTGTGGCTGTTTTTGCTACAGCGGCAGAGTTGGCTGGTTGTGATAGAGACTGGCCTACAAAGACTAAGATACTATCTGACCCTTAGTGGAAATTTTTTTCTTTTCTTAATTTTTAAGTCTGATCCTTACTCTAAATGTTTTGTAGCAATGGTGTTACTGGCAAAAGCCAAATATCTTCTTCTCTTCCCATTTCCTTTTCACTTCTAGCAAACTCCTAATCGCATCCCCACTTGATGGCTTTATTATCAATACAGTCAGTTAAGTATGATGTGCATTGTTATTTATTTCCTTTCACCTTCCACTTAACACAGTGTCTCTGAGTCCACCGCAGTTTCTCCTAATTGTCCCTTTTAGTGTCTCGGTTTTTATGTTAAAAGACATCCCCAATTGAACTCCCTCCTTTTTGCCCATGTCCTCAAATGCTTGTTTTATCTGCATGTTAAGATTTCTTTTACTGCTCTTTTGAAAGCAAAGTAACCAGTGTTTTTGCAAACTGGAAAATACTGGAGCTTATGTACTTGTTATCAAAGTGGTAGTTGGTGTTTTAATTATAAAAATGATTGCAGGGTGGTTTTTGAATTATCCAGGAAAGCTTGTACTCACTCTGTAGGACTCTTACTAATATATTTACTGTATTACCTAAAGCAGCATGTGGTATGCATTTATTTGTTCCTTGTTTTATTACAGGGAAGAATGAAGAAAGGGGGGAAATGTGAGAAAAGATTAAGCCAGAAGTAAGGTTAGCGTGAAAAATGCATTCATTCCATGAAGTCAATCTAGCAGCCAAATAAAAGGGAGAAACAAGTAATTCAGAGATGTTAATATTGTGCTTGGGCAACTGCCATTTGTGGCCACAGTTTCTGCTGTAAGTAATCTAACAGGCTATGCCAAAGGAAGACAGGATCCAGTCAATATTCCATAGAAAGTTCAAAGGAAAAAAGTTACCCTGCTCCAGAAAAGCACATACACACATGCTTTGGAGTCTGACAGACTGAGTTCAGATTCTAGTTCTGCCATCTATTAGATAGATAAACTTAGTCAAATTCATTGAGCTAAGTCAATTTTCTCATCTGTGAAACGAGTGATACATCAGAGGGCAGTTGTGAGACTTAATTGAGGTTGTGTGTCCAGAGTATAGTGCAGTGCCTGATGTGTTACGTGTTGTGAATGTGTAATGACTGTTAGTCATCTTCCGTGGGTCTTCATAGAAAACGAATGTGCTAGAACACCTGTAGTGTACATGATGCAGTGACTGACATTCTGTAGTAATTGTTTTATGGGGTTTTTAAAAATGTTTGTCAATGTAAGCTAATGAGGTGATGCAAACTGTAGTTCCATAAATGTAACTGGGTATGGGGCTCAACTACTTTTTGAGATCCAAGTTTATAATCCAGTCCAGTATATAGAGTATCAGGGTACAGTGTAATGGTTCTTAATCTAACAGTTGTTTTTTTTTTTTTTTAAGATTTTTATTTATTTATTTAACAGAGGGAGAGAGCACAAGTAGGCAGAGCGGCAGACAGAGGGAGAGGGAGAAGCAGGCTTCCTGCCAAGTAGGGAGCCCGATGTGGGGCTCGATCCCAGGACCCTGGGATCATGACCTGAGCTGAAGGCAGCCTCTTAACCAACTGAGCCACTTAGGCGCCCCAATCTAACAGTTTTTGATGGGACAAAGTTATGTGTTATCCCCTCCAGGGTGGCTATGCATATATATCAAATTGTATATAGTATTTGGGAATTCTGTTGACCTCCTGAAGCCACTCCATGGATTAATTAGCCTGAATGTCCTTGTATCACCAAATTAAGGGCTCCTGATCTAGGGGGATGGTAATGTGCATAAATCTTTAAATCAGTAGTTCTTAAATCTGTCAGACATAGCACCCCATATGTAAAAGGAAATGTATCATTGCACATTCTTATCCTGAAGTGTGAAATTCATGGGTGATAAAACTTGCTTATCCACATTTTAAAGAAAACTTAACAAATACCCTAACTAGAGAATAATAGAATAATAGAATAACAAGAGAAAAAAAATTAGAGGGGAAGTAGTTTTTAGTAAAATTATTTTAGCTCAAGTATAACTACATAATGATGTCTGATAATTGAACTTCTACCTAGTATCAGTAGGAATGTGACAATCCTAAATGTAAGCTATTACGTTACTCTGAAATGGTGAATAATACTTAGCAAAGTTCTGGACTGAAACTATCTTTTTTCAATGTACATATGGTATTTCTAGAAAATTCCAAGTGTGTTAAGATTGTGCAAAAATTGGTTAGATGACATTATGTAATATAGTTAAATTCAAAATCTATTACAAATAGATTTTTTAAAAGGTTATGTGAATGTCTGGCAGGATGTTTGAATGTTGTTCAAGATACTAGTCCTTAGGTATGTAGATCTGTTTTGTGTACTCTACCTGTAATTGCTACAAGCAAAGTATCCCATAAATTTCCACTGATGGTAGTGCTCAATGGTATTGTGCCCGTTGACAACCAGTCCTTTAGATTGTTTTCATTCTGCACATGAATCAGTTGGTCATTCTGTTCATTATACTTGGAATCAAACCTATAATTCTGCATTTCTAGTAAGTTTCCAAGTGATTCAGGTGAGTATTGTGATCCATGGACCAAAGTTTAAGGCATAATGCTCTATATCTGCACTGTCCAAAAGGGTACATTTTTCTTTCATTGCAAAAAGTTCTATTAAGGAGCTGTGGCAGATAACTTTCTCAAGTGATCTTTTAATAGGTTTCAAATACCAGTGAGTTTTACTTTTTGACATTTATCTGAAGAACTAGTTAGGTTTGTGATCATATGCTTTAGGAGCAGTGTTTGGAATAAGATTGCCATTCTTTTTGTGAAAGTTGAACTTGATAAAGACATGTATCTGAATGGAATGTCACCAAATCTGCAGAGATGGATCTAGATTGTACTGAAGGAGTTCTGAAGCATAAAACAACCTACAAAAAGGAATACATTTTATATTGTGGCTCAATTTATATGTATATGTATATCCCAAAACAAAAGTTTCACTAAGCTGTACTCGACTTTACCATAAGGGACCCATTTTGAGATTTTTCTATGCTAATCTGTTTTTGTTTTGTTTTTTGTTTTTTTAATGCTGGTCTTGATCTTCATCTAGTTAGTCACATCTGCAGTTTGAAAAAATACCATAGGAAATATCCCTGGTAATGTGAAC